GGGGACGACTCACTGTGAGGCTCCTCATTGGTGCGTTCATCCCCAGGCCAACAGAAGGGGTGGAGAAACCAACCAGAGAGACAGACTAGAGATGCAAAAAGGAGAATGTCCTACAGGCCTGGAGGTCCTGCGGCAGCAGACAGTGAACGGTAGCAGTCATAAGAGCAGTAAAGAGGGGTGAGAGAGCATATTCACAAGTGCTGCGAGGTGCAGCTTCAGCAACACACAGCTATGCAGTTAATGCGGTGCAACCCAACTTACATAAACACTTATTTTCTCTATGAAGCCATGCGGATAGTTTTGCTTATTTTTGACAATGTTGAGGTATCTATATCTGGTATCTCTGGCGCCACCCTCAATACAACGTCTGTGGGGCTCCCAGCACAATTTAAAACCTCTCTTTCTAGAAACAACAGCCCTTTTTACTCTGGATATGTTTTCATAGGAACTATTTCTTTGGCAGAGTCAATGAAAACTGCGAAAAAGTGAAGTTTCATACCCAGAGTATCAGAGACCCAAGATCATCTCCGTTCACCTTCATCATAAGGGGCGTGAATCTTTCAGGATTTCACGATTCAATTAAAAATGGACTCTCGATTCAGAACGATTCCCACTCAAAATCGATTCTCAACTCAGGACACCGGGGTTGTAATTGCAGAATCTACTGCAGTCGCTGTGTGCAATATCCCAAAAAGAAATGTAAACACACAAAGGCAAAGTGTAACATTTATTCATGCTAAACTTGCACAAATAAACACTTTTTACAAAAAGGTTTTTCAGTGACTTCAAGAACATAAAAACAATAACAAATATATGCTGTCACATTAATACAACTGGTAGGCTTTTGTTTCTCATAAACTTGGCAATTACAAAAATTAATTGGACATAAATGAACACTGTAAAATTGGTATTTTGTGTGATTTTTTCAACAAATCGACACGCTATATGTCCTAACTGGCCACCTGTGACGCAGCACTGCGACGCCCTGTTTCTACTTATTCCTGTCGCTCGCTTTGAAAGCGCCGCAGCGGACAAGGAGCAGCTGATTGGTGAAGTTGAAGTTACCAATATGACGTATATGACGTACGGTGGCAGCTGGCTGGAGGTATCGCCTGAAACTTTCCAACTTGCTGGTGACTATAGTGTATGTCATTTCCAAGTAAATATCACAATATTAAACGTGTGTTTTCTGTTTAAAAAGTCGGAAGATAGCAAGTACTACTCTCCCATCTTGTAAGCGGTTATGTCTCCAGTCTGACCTCCAGCACAGAGCTGAAAACCATGTGGTTTATTGATTTATTATTGGATTATTCCTTGTTCAGTGTGACCGAATGTTACATCTCGCGGTGCATTCATTGTGCACAAGACAGACAGCATCAGTAGCGCTGCTTTTTTTCTTTTTGAACAATCGAATATTAATTTTCATGTTCAAATGCAATATCTAATTTACTTTGTAGAAACAAATAGGTTTTTAAAAATCCTAATTTTTTTTCTCCACACCCCTTTTTACTATACTGGGATAGAGGCAGAGATGTCAGAGACAGAAACTATCCGCATGGCTCAATAGGAACGTGAACAATGTTGACATTTGAGCAAAGCAATCCTTCAAGAAAAACAGTGCACTGAAATACAATTCAATAAGATAGGATAGTTAAAGTACATCACATCAAAACAATAGATCCAACATACACACAAAAGAGATTCAGAAAAGGAGCAGGCATCAATATCCTAAAGCTCGGGTGAAATGTGTCACTGTCACTGCATCATGAGCCTTTTGAACCGGTACTCAACTGACTGAAACTCAACGAAGAAGGTTTTTTTTTAAAGTGACATAGCCTGAATATACATCTTTTACAGGTTCAAATCTAAGCACGGGGAACACTTGGGAATGCAGATGGAACAATGTGACTGTATCAGATCCTTGTTTCCTTTCCTATGAACCCCATGTAGTTAGAAGCAATTTCCCAGTGTAATTGCTACGCTTAACATATGCAGATGGAGACGTGAAGAAGAGTGAAAACTAAATTACATGGTCTAAGTGCTATTATGTGGGAGTATAGGTGGCAAAGACTGCAATTACTTCCCCATTTGGAGAGAGGACATGTTCCTCACGGGCAGGATGTGATCACTGGGCAGATTAATTGTGACTGTGAGAGTATTTGTTGGAGTCGGCGAGAGGTCTTCGCTGAAGTTTTACTCTTGAGGAGTGCACTCCGGTGGTAACATCAAAGGAGAGAAAGCGTGGTTGATTTCTTTCTTTCTCTTCCATCGCCCTTAAATAGGCTCAAGAATCATGCGCTTTGTTCAAGTTATAAAGCGAGGACAGTCAGCTTCCGTTTTCATGTCCATGTTTAGTTTGATTTAAAGCTGCATTCATCCATGTTATATTCATGAACAGTGGTTCAAATGATTAAGTGTAATGTAGAAGGTTACAGGGATTCACAAACATCATTTTGTGATTTCTATATGAATGACTCTCCATAAAAATATTGTTTTTAAAAAGGAAGAAGACATCTGATTGCTACAGTTAATTCGCTGTTGAAGAAAATGAAATTTGTGAACCCACCCACACAAACGCAGTGACAAGTAAAAATCCTTTTAAATACATATATTTGTGGATTTTTATTGCATTTATTTAAAAGGAAAATGTTTGTCTGAGCACCAGAAATATATTTGTGAATCATATTTTTTTTTTTTCACGTGGATTTTTACAAATAATGTTAATTTCTTTTCTGTGCATTAAAACACATTGCTGTGGTGAGAGTCTTTTATCTATAAATCACAAAATACATTTGGGAATCCTTCAGTGACCATTCATTGATATTGAGACTGACCCCATAGAAAGTTGCCACTCATGGTGACAGACACATGGAGAGTCATCACCCAGCTTCCCTATGTACCTGCTCTCATTGACCTTGTTTCCAGCTTTTCTGACAAAATGCTCTGACACTGCAAACCCACTGTGTGCTACCTGTCAGCGCCGAACGGAAGACGGACAAAGTGAGCCAAGTAGCTGGTGAACATGGATCATTTAGTAGCTAAAGTGCCGTAGCAGCAAATATTTACAAAACTGTTTGCAACTTTACAGGTAATGTCAGCATGGCACCGGCCTGCTGCATCTGAAAAATGTGAGCCAAAAGAGTAAAGTTGTGGGACGTCAAACTAAAACAGTCAGCTGAAGGACACTAAAAGGCTCCGTAGGGCTGAGGGGAGCTGCAGAATTAGGTGATGACACTTTCACATTACATTTAGTGATTTGACCCACTTCAAAATATTCACTATAGCAGCTTCAAGAGTATAAGTAATGATATTGAGGTATTAAGTCAAACACACAATTGATACCTTGTCTTGGCATACTGTTGCAGCAAATGTTCATTATCATCACATCATTAGGTCAGTTTCATGTTAACATTCTGCTTGCTGCATGTTAAAGAGGTGTCAAGTGTCAGTACTCTCAGCTCATTTCATGAAGGTTTTCTAAATGAAAATCCAAACCAATCTTGGTAATCTTAAAGACTACACCTGGAGGATTTAATATATAAATTTGTATACAGTGCATATCCATCGGAGATTGAAAGCTGAGCGAACGTAAGCTCGACGGAGCCAAGGTTACTATGGAAACGGATGAGAGCTAAGGGGCTACATTGGACAAAAATAAGCTAACCATAGTACGCGTACACGTTTTGTGCGCAAGCGTGGGTCCTAAACGAAGTGACCACGAAATGTGACAACATGGACACCTCGTAGTGTAGCAAATGCGCGACGTTATTGAACCAAGGCCTACTCCGGAGGATGAGAATGTCCTCACTTCCTGGAGAACCGACAAGCTAGCACGCGGCAGCACGTCGGCATCCCTCGAGCAACAACAGCTGGATGTCACATACAGCACGCGGCGACCGAAGCGGCGGGTTAAGAAAACAAATACTGAGTCACTCACGAGAGGAGGGTTTACCTTATCCGCCGCGTCTCGTCCTGTCCATGACATCAGCTGTTTTGGTGCGTTTGGACCGTGTGTGTGTGTGGGGGGGAGAGTGCGGGAGCGCGCGCAGGTTTTCAATCACATCAACCAGCACCAGCGCATGCAGCGGAGGCGCGCGGCGGTCTCCATGGTAACAGTCGAAGGTCGCTCGAGTTGCTGCATCACAACAACCTCCCAAATACTTTTATTTGCCCCAATTGTTTTATTACTGTAATTATATATATTGTGGCAGACTGACACCTCCGTTATCACAAAAACAGTGAAAACAGCATTGTATGAAAAATTAATTATTTTTCTCTTTCTTCTAAATGCTGGCCCTCAATATCATGAATCATCCGTAAATTCTTCATATATCTGTTAGTGTATTTTTGATCATTTGGATTGTCTGTACTGTGTTTTTTATTCTGTTGGTTATTGTGTACACACCATGTCTGTTGCATGTCTGTCCCTCCAGGGAGAGGGATCCCTCCCTGCCAGCCTGAAGTCTTCTGTGCATACCTTTTGATTGGAGCCCTCATAAATCATTGAGCTAAGTGCAGTGCTGTCAGGTCAACTCAGAGCAGTGTACCCTGTGCTATGAAAGGTGATGAAAGTTTCACTTCAGCCTGCTGTGTGTAGCTGACGTATAGCTGTATAGGCTTTCCCCCCCCCCCTTGCTTAGGCCTGCGCTTGTATCCCGCATGCAGTTTGAATGCTGCCAGAGTACAGAATGTGCAGACCATTGTCTGGAGGAAGCATTATATTAAAGGCAGGAGTCGCGTGAAAAAAAAATCATAGTAAACCAACTACTGTGGTTGTATAAGGTGATTCTGAAGTGAGGTCATGACAGTGTGTGGCCGCTATTGTTTTCACCTTGTGAGTATTTGTGAGTCATCCAAATGAACTACCACTAAAGTGGTTTTGAGTACTTTGCCAGGTGTCTGTCTGTCTCTCTGTCTGTCACCATAGTGTCGTGATTTGTTCTCCTCTCATTTAAATAATGTGATAAAACATGTTTTTGCCCATCACCATAGTGTCGTGATTTGTTCTCCTCTCATTTAAATAATGTGATAAAACATGTTTTTGCCCAGTAGTTAGCAATGCCCCCTACCAGCAGGCGGGTGTCGGTATAGTGGGGAACAATTGTCCTGATGATTTCAATGATATAAGTACAAAATCTTAAGCGAAGACTTAAGTTGCGAAGAAAGTTGCACCTCAATTCAGGATTTTGCCCTCCGTTTCTGGTGAGCTGCGCCCCTACAATATATTAAATTGCTGACCAATGCTCTAATTCAGTCAGAGACACTTGGCTGGAGGACTGACCATTTAAGCTCCCGCAGTGCTTCATACATTGTTTACGGATAAGATCAAATGCAAGGTACTCCTCTGGCTCCACTGCTGTTTCAGAAGACTCAAACATTAGCACAGATTGGATGGCAGAGCCTTGAATGTCTCTGATTGACAGACCAAAATTACATTTTTGTATTCAACGCATGCTTAAAATTACAAATCTGTCAGATCGGAATCGAAATGCATGTTACTATTTCTGCAGCATCGTTTGGAGCCAAATTGATTCCATGTTTGACTCGTCATGGAAAGCACAGGTGTTGCTAAAAAGAATCTTTTCCACCCAAGTGTCCCAGTCAGTTATGACCAATCTATGTGTGACAGTGAGCCAGCGTGCACAATACCAGAACGCTGAACGATGTGCTTTTCTTATCATGACGTTGAAATGCCTTCATAGGAACGGCCTTTTACATCAAAAGGAAAGATAGAAGCAAAAGTGCAGCACCATAGAGAGATCATCTGGAAAAGGAAGGAGGGGGGGAGTCAAACAAAGCATAAAAAACAGTCTGCTTCTAATTACATCTCAAACTGGTGACTTAACTTTTTTATTTTGGCAGGTTTCCCCCACTCCAGCTCCCGCCCAGGCCTGTGTCTGGGAGTCAAGACTAATCAAAGGCACTTGTATGGAGAGAGCTGTTGGCCTCTGAAGGGATTGAGCCAGTTCAGGGCCAGCCTGCTGCTCTTTCTCTCCTTCTCCTTCCCCTCTCTCACTCTCTCTTCCTGTCCTGTCCGTTTAAGGCGAGAAAGTTTGGGAAAATTCCTTCGAGCTACTTTGCTTCAGGTTTCTCTGGGATTTAAACATGCACACTGGGGTTTCGGTGCAGTCCATGTCGGTGCCGTTGTTTCTGATTCTGCTCTCTGCCGTGGAGGTCACTTTGTTACAATCGGTGAGGTGAGTTTCCACACAGCTTTTTTGTTCTGTTTTTTTTTCTGGTTTATTTTGGGGTAATCGGAGCGAGAAGGAAGAGGGAGGTAAAGAGTGTTGCTGACAAAGACAACGTTTGGAGAGTGCAATGTGGGGAAGTTTAGGAGTGCCTGTACATGTAGTTTGCCCTTCTTTATGCTGTTTTACTTGCCAATAATTCAGCATGCCAAGTCATGGGAGTGAAACTCTGCTTCTCCGTTTACATCATTCAGCGTTTGAATAGCACTTTCTTTATCAACTTCAATTAATTTATTTTCATTTGGACACTGCTTATCGCAGCTTTTGACCTTTGGGTCTGGTGCACGAAGGTTTAGTGACATCTTGGCTGGAGCGAGGGTTTTGTGCTTCCAAATCTTGGAAAAAACAAAATTTAAATAAGGAGGAAAATCCAAAAACATCATACATGTTAACCTTTTGAACTATAATTTGTTATACTTTTTTGGCCTTTTTTTATAAAATCATGAATCATTCACTGAAGCCGTTAAAGCCACAAAACTGATTTTATGATCTTATTTAATTGGAATCATGTGTGAAGAATGACATGAAGGTGAAAACTGGCTAAAATGCGAAAAAAAGAAGAAGGCCTTTTACAGTAGAGGCTGAGTCAGCAGATCTGTAAATGTTGCCATATGGTTCAAACTAATTTCAAATGCAGTGGGGGTGTTTTTTTCCAAGCAGGTGCACCGTGCCTGTCTAGTGATTGCATTGTGTATGTCACAGTGGAGCTTACAGTGCATAGCATTTATTAGACAGCAGTGGCAAACCCACTTACATCCTTACCACAGGAGGCGACAGCTCCTCAGAATCCAGGTGATTATAGTGTTTTTCTCGGTTTTAATTATGAATATCCAAACAGTTCCTACCTTGTTTGTTTACCAGGTATGTCGCCATAACAACCTGACAGCGGCAAAACGAGTAGGTGTGAAACACTCAATAGTGAAGGTTATGTTTTGTAACCTCAGCTCTAAGAACACAGGCAAAGCGAGGGAGCTCCATGACACTTTCCATACGTATGCAATGCTCAATCCAATCGACGTCCAAAACATCAATAATTTCCTAGCGAGGCAGGATTAAGGTTGGAGAGCTCCACCTGTACTCATAAAACTAGGGTTACGATACCAACTCATTCTCAGCCCAATGCGTCAAATACAACAGCTAAGTCAGTGCTCATAAGCTTCAAACTATGGCGCTCTACGTATCTGTCTAGCATCTGTTTTGGAAGTGCCAGGGACAACGTGTCAATACAGGATAGTGTCTTTCCAAAATAAAAGTTGGGTTCAGGCAACAAAATGAGGTTAAAGAAAGAAGCACGGTTGACGTTAACTTCACTGACAAATGAGTCACATGACTAGCTACTCACTCGAGTCACGTGACTAAAGACATTCACTACTCACCTGACTGACAACTGAAGTGACAAAATGTCAAAGTCAGCTTTTAGTTTCACACAGGACATGGACAGCAGTCTCTGTTTAAAACATCCACCTCACCTCTCCGCACGCTATGAACATCGCACTTTGAGAGACTTGTATCTATACACAGCCATTAAAAAACAAGATGCAAACCAATCAGTAGGCCTACATGTGTGCATATATTTTTCTCTTAAATTTCCTTAAAGTCACTCCAATGCTATTCGACTATACCATCTACAAAACATAACTAAAAATAAGGCTTATTAAATGTCTTTTAAAGTTAAACAAAAATTAGATGAGACAGTGGATAGGAAGAGCCTCCACCCTCAACATTTATGTTGCATCCCAATTCCATTCCAGCCCTTTGCAGTGTGGCATTAGCATCAAGAACCTCTGCTACGGTCTTTTTCACAAGGCTGTGGGTTCCACGTAACATGCTGGAGCACACACAGGGCAGACACAAACAATGCAATTTTCTCCTTCTTTCCCACTGTCCTTGATGTAAAAGAACACCTGTTGTTCTTAGGTACAGCAGCAACAAACTGTTTGAGGGAAACCTCTTCAATGTGTTTAAATGGCTTCTTTGACAAAGCCATGGGCCCTACAGGAAGGAGTCTCTGTCACTCTCTATATAGCGGACCAATTTGTAGTGCTGTCCCAATGTGTAGCGACAATTAGCATACTCCAGTAAGACTGAAAGTATCTCACAATGTGTCGTGAAAATATTAGACAACGATGGTCACTAACAGAGCACTATTTACCATCATGCATTGCGCTGAGGGAAATATGGCAGATGGACGAAAGGAGGGAGGGCAGCGTGATTCAGACAAATCCATGAGTTGAGGCGCGAAATTAACAAATGTAATGCGAGCAAAGCGTTGCATCGTAATACAAACGGCCACAACTTTATTTTCTGTTTATTCATCTGGGAAAATACGCTTATGGCCCCAAAATTGTTGTACCTTTCACAATAAAAGCCCTAGTATAGTTTATTTTATATTGTGAATATATGCTGCATTAATGTTTACCAGGTGGACCATACATTCACTCAGAGCATTGAGCTAAGAAGCAAGTCAACAAAATAGCTTGCAATATGTATTTATTGCAAAAAATGCGCGTTGGTATTTATTATGCAGCGGCTGGTGATCCATACCAGCCGCTGTTGATCTGACACGTTTGAATTGCACAACAGTAATGACGTAATTAACGGCGCAGAGAAAATTAAGTTTCAGAAAGTGTTTCATTCATTTTGTCACTAGATAGTGGTGGGGAGTCGTGAATGAGTGAAGGATTTCTGACACAACCTGGGTGACTGACAGGTGCACAGCAGGCCTCTCCATTACCTCGCCCTCGGTAGGAAGTATTTTGAGACCAGATGGAGGCCTACGAATGTCTTGCTTAAACATACGTGCCGGATAGAAAAAAGAGGTTGTCATGCACTCACCTGGTTCACCATGTTATGGTGCAACCCTTACTTCTCCGGTGGCATCTTCAATTTGCCAATTAGTTTGAAATAAGTGCTAAAAGCATGGTGGGGCAGCGTAAAAATAGTGGATGACAGAGACAAGGGCAGTGAAAAAGAGCACGATATTTACTGTGCGCAGTTTTATTTGAGTGTCCCAATTGAAAACGTATCATGCCCTCAACACTGGAATGAAAAATAGTGTCCCTGGCATGTTGACTACTTTCTGCTAACAATCCCACAATGCAATGCTGTTGTAGATGAGAAAATTGCCATTCTCATACTCAACACAATGACGACGAAAATCCAAAATCCAAAAAAAGTCCAAAATCTCATTTTACCGCTCACTATTCAGTAAACGTCTTAGTGACCGCTGAAAGTCATCAGGGGAAAAGGCTCATCCTGATATACAGATGCATTCAAAATTCAGTCGGCTGCTGAGCAGAGGAACGCGGTCAAGCCCAAAAAGACCATGTGAAATGGAAGTTGTATAACCTCCCCATGACACATGGAACACCCACATTCTTTATTTAATTTCAATGGGAGGGTCAGGAACACTTGATCTCTTTGAAATGTGTCTACTTCTCCCAAACTGGACAGTTTTGCGAGGGCAGGATTAGAAAAAGAATGTCAGACAGCATCCAAATGAAACAAATCTCACAAGGAGATCCCGTGGAGTAAAAGCAAAGCCCATGCAACAGCTGCTGGAGTTTGATGAATGGTGAAGCTGTTTCTGTCTTATTTGATTTCTTTGATTTATTAGCTTAAAGGAATACTACACCCACAAAATGACCATTTGTACATCAATTACTCACTGTGTGTTACCTTGGAGGAGAAAACTTAGTTTGTTCCTTCATTTCTCTCAAAGTTTTTGCATTCAGTCCAACGAAAGTGACGTAATATACCTGGTGGCGGTTATTGGAACTTACGTCATATAATAATGAGTATAATGGATGAGCAAATAAATCTGCATAGTATGGGTGGTAGGGGTAGTCGAATGGTCAAACAAACACAGGACTTTTACCCAGGAGACAGCTGTTCGTATCCTGTGTGAAACCGTAAGCAAACATTGACTCTGTGCTTGTTGCTCAATGTTGCTATTTACGTAACATTTTGTTGCTTCATAATTATTTCAAGAATAACAATAATCTTTTTTCTAACCTAACCAAGTAGTTTTGTTACCTTTTTTCTTTATGTAGATCCAAACAGGCTGACTGTCTTCTGAGGAGTTACACTCTTCCCGCTATTCTTCATCTCAGACTTTTTTTCCTCCATGATGTTGCGGTTGAAATACCAACAAATGGAAGGAAAGTTGAAAATCAATTTCATGTTATGCTCAAGTTATGATACAGGTGACAAAAAATGAAACAGTGAAGCAACGAAACTGGTTTCACCATTTGTCACAAGTTCCCATCAGTAGGTGACGTGATCCCCCCCCCCCCCAGGTGCAATGGCCCAATCCCAATGTCCCCCCTAAAGCCTTGAACTCTGAACCCTCAGGGACTTAACTGACGTCACCTGGTAAATGGAGTGTGAGTGGGCTGCAAGGGCTGGAAACGATATATAAATATAAATGGGACAGACTTTGCTGCAACATATCAAGTACCTTCATGACACCAAAACATGTTTTAAAATTTTTACTGCCTAATTTCAACCTCTTCCAGGCATTTGCCTACAAGACGAGAGGTGATTGTCAAATGATCAAAACAGCTTCATTAACAAAATGTAAAGAAACGATTGATGAATGAACAAAGTGTATAGAATACACTATGATGCTATGATGCACATTCCCGCAAAGTCTGTGAGGGCTCTCTCACAGACATTTTGAGCCATTTATGAACACTTTCCGTAAGTCCACATTTCTGCAGACTTCATTCGGGATTAAAGGCGAACATAAAAACACATGAAAGCAGAGGAATGCAAGCAGAGACTATTTTACACAGCTGGGTTATTCATCAATAATTTCCTTTCATTTTGTTATCAAAGCTGTTTTGACAAAAACGAGTAAATAGATTATTTGACAAATTACTCTCATCTCGTGAAGCAAAAGAATGTAAGAGTAAAAAATATAAAATAAATTGATTTTATGTAACTTGACGTTGTCATGGTAACGTGATATGTCGCAGCAAAGTGCTGTCCCATTTGTATTTACGCCACATCAAGTCCTAACAGTGTCTCACACGCCATTTACCAGGTGATGCCAGATAAGTCACTCAGGGTTCAGAGTTTAAGGCTTTAGGGGGGAAATTGGGGTTGGGCCCCTCTATTTCAAGTCACAACGCCTGAGTGATTTCCCACAATTCATAGCGTTGTGACTTCAACTACGGTAAAACTGTGTTTGAAGTCACAACGCTATGAAAGTCTGCAGAAATGCCGACCAACGGAGAAGTGTGCACTAGGTACTCAAGATGCCGTTGAGCACTTGAGAGTTTGACAGTGAGACAAACCTAAGCCCTCACCGACTTTGCGGTAACGCGTCTCAAAGTAGTGTGAGTATGTGAGTGTGTAGATTGAGATTGGGCTGTTGCATACGGCCGCGCTCCCTTTGTTTAGCTAGTCCTAATTCAAACCACACACACACATGCTGATTTATTCAAAAAACCTACAGAGAAATGAAACGAAAAGAAAACTGCACTGCATTTTGAACCTTATTAGACTTCTGAGGCAGAATCTATGGGTCTTTCACACATACTCATCCTACCCACTAGCCATTAGATAGATGACTGTTTGTATCCATCATATGATTACTTTACCTACCAAATATCCTCAACAGATCCCATGGGATGTCCCTCTTAAGCCCCTAGCCCTATTTTTAGCCCTCTGCTCGAAAATGATACCCATACTAAGGAGACCACAGTTCTGTAACTACAAGGTCTATTTTAATAATTGTTGATGCTATAATCAGATCACAACACTGGTGAGATTGTTCAGTGGGTAATATTGTGTATATGTTGCTGGTTAATATAGTGCATGAACATATTACACAGCTCAAATTGGAAATATTCAGGTTTGCCTGAAAAAAAGCACTTTTATTGATATTATGTTTTTGAAATAATGCAGCTGGCTGGCTCAAACTCTCCCAAATCATAGCACAACCGATCAGTAGTTGTAGAATAAAGGTTGGCTGGGATAAAGTGAAGAATAAGAGGCTTTAGTAGAGAGAGTTCACGCAAGGTCATCATTTTCGAACCAGCTGTTGCAGCTCTTACATTGTACTTTTATATACTATATAACTATATATTTCACTTTTTTTATCACTCATATTATTCAATACATTCAAATACAGCTGTTAGGAATCATTTTGAGAGCCAGGGTCATCTCATAGCCTGTTTCTGGCTGTCATCTATAGGATTTTCTCAGTGTGTATGGGGCTGTAGCTCAGCCTATCATCGGTCGATTTCAGTCAATGAGCAGGCCTTCGAAGCGTCAGAGTCTCAGGAAGGCGGGTGCCGAAGCGGGTGTTGATTGACAGAACTTTCAGCCAGTAAAGTTGCAAGAAGTGCCGCGTATCCCCGATCGTAAAATTCCATTGGCCGAAGGTCTGACCGCTGGCCCGAGGTGGGTTGACCCCCCTTCTACCAGAAACAGCTCGGCTGTAAACAGGATGCACTTGGCGACCATGACAGTAGCTCTGAAACGGATAATTTTCGATGTTTTTGTACTAATATTTCATAAAACCTGTCCAAAAACCAAGGATTTTTTCCGGTGAAGACCACTGCCCTGGTGCCTTTGTCCAGTCACAGCTTTCTACTGGTTTCACGGAGAGAAAAACCGAAGGTATTTATGCGTTCTGTGTCGGATGCTATTGCTAAACGATGTACGGATTAGCTGGCTAGCCGCTAGCTTTGTGGTGCAAAATCGATGTGCAGTTAAATATGATGGCGATTTATGGCCACAAATTCGTCCTTTTATGACACGTTTTCTAGATGCTTATATTAGTAGTCTATAGTTGTGTTTGGAGTTTGTAAAAAGTGACTTATATGATAGTGTTGCCCATACGTTGCTGTTTAATCCGGTAAAAAAAATTACAATTGTACAATATTTAGCAAACAATAAATCCATTTTCCGGACAACATTTTCAGGGTGCCTGAACCCCACGAGGATGCCGGCGTCCTCGCGGGGTGGAGGAGGTTATTAAAGGTAGACATGTCTGAGCAAAGGTGTTTTCGCTCAGGTGTGGTCGTATTTCAAACGGACACAGATGGCTATACACTTGATCCTTGACCTCCATAGTTTTCAAAGCTGGATAACTGACCTTCTCTCTTTTTCCCCAGCCAGGTGGGTGGTGTGTGTAAGCTATCCACAGAGTCATCTCTGCGCCGCTGCCGCACACCCGATGGCAAGATCTGCAGCGGGAGGGGCAAGTGCGACTGCGGCATCTGCACCTGCTTGGCCACGGAGCCAGGGAAGTTCTACGGTCCGCGCTGCGAGTGCCACGACTGGGTCTGCGCCTCGCACAATGGGAAAACGTGCAACGGTGGGTACAGTGACGCACGGACACGTGAGACAACCTGCTGGTTTCAGTGTAAAAGCGAGGAGGCAAATTTGTCACAGCACGGTTTTATTCTCATATATTGTCTAATAACAGTTTGACATTCCAAGCTCCATGGGAAGTAGTGTGCAGGCACATGGCTCCACATGTTGTAGTACTTAGGTTAGGTTGTTAGATGGGTCAGTAATTGATGCAGCAGAGCTCGGCCCAGTTCCAATCCGGCCCCTATACTTTCCCAGTTTGTAGTCGCACTCACAGCTGAATGAAGCACCATTCTTTATGGGGTAGTTTGTCTCTCCAGCAATGAAACCATCAATAAATCCCAGAATCAGAACCAGAAATACTGTATTGATCATCGGAGCTAAATTTGGTAACAGTTGCTCCCATTCTACAATGAAAACTTCTGACATAGAGAAATTATGAGAAAATATAAATATGAAATGTGTTAAAATATGTGCATTATTCTCCAATATAAATACAATACATATGGAAAATGTGGAAGAAATGTAAAATATGCATACTAGCTAGCACAATATATAACAACAGTGCAAATAATAATGCTAAGATTAGATGTGTAGTATAAATAAATGTGAATATTAGTTTAAATGCACCGTGCAGACTTGCATATTGCAGCAACAGACTATCACCATGGAAATAATTAGGTTGGCCAGTTGTATTACTTAACTTTACAAAGTGCATTGAGCAAGCTGGACATCATCAGATGAGCTAATACATTAGCAAAAGTGAAACTAATGCAGTCTAACACTACAGCCAGCCCTGCAGTAACTCTTACCTTCATGAAGGTCACATTGATCAGTTTTGTTGAAAACAGTTTAGGTTGAATCAACTTTATGGTCATTTTTTAGAGGCAGCGGTCTATGGTGCCCTTTTGTTGAGGCTGCTATAATCAATATTTTTTATACTAACCATAAATCAAACGACTACAGGTAATGTGAAAGAAGATAGCTCGTGGTGACAAATGCTCAGAGAATTATCTTCTGACCCTGCACTTCCCTCTACAGAGCGGAGTGAGTGAAAATTAGTCATTTTAAAAATCATTTGAGAGAGGCGTTAAATGTCCTTTTGGGGCCTGTAGTTTGTTCAATAATATCACATTATTTTGAGAGGTTGTGTTTACTTTCTCTAATATTTAGTCTACCTTCATTAATATAAATGTGTCTAACAAACCCAAAGAAACACCTGTCAGTACAATCTAACACCACCACAAAGTACTGCCTCTAAGATGACCAAACACTGAAATAACATTATAACTACCACAAGGCTAGAATTCGTTGCAGGGTAGTTGTATTAGACTTTGTGTGTGTGTGCGTGTGTGTGTGTGTGTGTGTGTGTGTGGGTATAGGTGTGTGTGCACGTGATGGGGTAGAGAGATTTATTTGGGCAAACAAGTCAGCCGCTGGAGCTGATTATGGTTCAGCAAGTCTGGAGCGAGGAGGCCCACGCGTCAGCCTCATAATGGGGTCTCACTCACTGGGACACAGACTGCAAATGGAACCTTGATGCATCAGAAGAGGGATGGGTCTCCACACCCGGACACACACACACACACACACACACACACACACACACACACACACACA